TATGGTCTCTGTTGTCATCAATTCGATGACCCATATAGAAATCTTGTTACAGTCCCTTTGGCTCAAAAGCCGACCGATGAATGGTAATCAAACTCGAAAACTAATACACATATGATACTCAATGTAACGCTGATCATAATCAAAACATCAGACCAACTCTGATTTTCTTTTGCAGAATTTATTTCCTAAAAAAATTTTTTTTTTTAACAAACTATATATGTCATTAAAATTTTGACACAGTTCACTATTTGCAACGAGGTATGAGTGCAAAGGGAGGAACAGCCATGTGTACGCGAGGCACGTGCACAAGTGCCGACAAAGTTATTAATTCATTTACCTGTGCTGTGCCGTCTCCATCCATTCTTGCACACCTGACTGTTCCTCTCTTTGCACTCCTCCCCCGTAAGAAATAGTGAACTGTGTAAATATTGTAATTATAATTTGTTAAACAACTTTTTTATTTTTAGGACAAAAATTCTGCAAAAAAACCTCAGAGAGTTGGTCTGATGTTTTGATTATGATCAGCGTTACATTGAGTATTAGATGTTTATTAGTTTATGAGTTGGATTGCAATTCATCAGTTCGCTTTTGAGCCAAACGGACTATATAACTACCAGTTACATCATCGATCAGACTTACCAGATCTTAATCAAACTTTCATTATCCACAGCACGAGGGGCAACTATGAACAGCTTGCAAGGAGGGACTCTCAGCTGTCTGGGTGGAGGAGGTATTTCAGCACTGTCACCAAAGAGGGCCGGGCCAGTGTGAGTACCACCCCAGAAATCAGCAATATCTTAACCATTTTAGCACTGTTTAGACAAACTGGTCGTTGATTATAGGGAGGAGGGAGTCCTTTGGTGTGGAACTGTATGATATTGAGCCAAAACAAACTAGCCTAATTTTATATAACATTTATTCATAACACCCTCTCTCTCATGGTCTGTGTCAGCACACATAAATTAAGGCACCCTAGTCAATGTGTACACTCTATTATCAGTAAAAAGTTAATATCCTTTTTTAAAAAACTCCTAACTTGCAATCAGTATCTTTTGGAAATATTTTGATTATTGTAATGAAGATGTAATGATGGAAGTGAGTTTTGTTACATTTTGTGTTTTTCCTTATTGTTTAAATGTAATGTTGTTTTCAGATTGTGGTTGCTACCTATGCTGCAACAGCAATTACAGGCTTCCTAATCTGGAAGAAGTACATACAGTCTAAGAATGCTCCACCAGGCTTGAAACAAGACTGAATGTGAGAGATGTGATAGTTCTTCTGTACACAATGACATACAGGAAACTCATGGCTGTGATACAAACATTATACTGTGGTACACACTGGATAATTATGAAGACAGTGCTGCCGACAAAAGACTGGCAGGTCTAAATGGACGAAGAGCGTATTTCACAGTTCTAGATATTGTTAGTGTGTACTCTACTTGTTTGAAATGGTGGATCTACCTTTGTGTTACGGAAGCGACGTGAAGTGGTTTTAGTGTCATTGTTGCTGCTTGTGCTAGTCAAAACTGATGCTGGCTTCACAGTGCTGGTCCATTGAGATACCAGCCTGGACAAACTTTCACAAAGCGATCTTAGCACAAAGTTGATAATAACTCCCATACACTAATAAAAACTTAAGATGGTCTTTACACTAAGATTGTTTATGGCAGGCCCCGTAATTATTCAATGGGTACCCTACTCAGAGACTCCAATGTGACCAGTGCCCTGTTGCTCAAAGCGATCTTAGCGCTATGGCTACCATAAGCAAATGTTAAAGTATGGGAGTTATGATGACCTTAGCATTACAATCCCTTTGTGCAGTTGGACCATGCAGTTGAACATGGCTACCCAACTTGGGCAAAGTTTACTGACCAGTAACAGGTACTTGTACATTGTTGTAGTAGCATCTCATGTATGACTCGAATGGAATGAAACCAGCAATGTTTTACTCTGTGCACTGAGCCACAGAGGCCATATAATTTTAAAGTGGATTTGCATGCAAAACAGGAATATATAATACTTTGTCGTACTTATCAAATACTCATACATAGATACTTGTGCAGGACTAATTGTTTCAACAACAGGTGTGGGGTGTGGCATGGAGAATTGGAAAAAGAGGAGTAAAATGTCCAGGTATTTCTCACCGTGTCATCAGGATTCACAGTTGTGTATAACCCAGTTCAGATATGCTAGTCTTGCTGGGCATTGGATTTAGATAATGAGAATAAAATCCCTTTAAATTACCAGACATGTTTGACTTCACTTACTACTGAACCTAATCAAAATTTGACTTTCAAAAGTTAGAATACTTCATAGCTATTGGTGGGACTCGCTGTTTCGAAGCAACTGACATGGCTGAAATATTGCTAATGTAACATTGGTTCATAACTCACGGACTCTGCATTAGTGTTGGGAATTGGTTGAAATCTCACAATTGATTATTGCTTCATTACCAACGAGAAATCATCGAAAAAAATTGGTTAGCGTCATTTCTGATTTTCCTATTCAGGTATAAGTATAACATGATGCAACTTGCTACTTTAAAGTGATGACTAATATATCATGAACATAAACTTCCCAGAGTCTTCAACAAATATTCAGTCATGACTTTTCAGTTAGTGAAGTGAGTTTTCTAAGAATTAAACACATTTTCAGGTCCTGACACCTCGAAGATATGTTCCATCGACAAGTGTTTCAAAGACTAAAACAGTGGTTCCAAAATTGTTTGTGTTCGATTATGAGAAAATGTGATCGATTGTTTGGTCGTTTGGTCACTGCGACCAATCTTCGATTATTTAAATTAATCGGAACACCACTACTCTGCATCACTGTGGAGGAAAATATTACCCTGGGAAAAACTTGAACCCTTTTCAAACACTGCTTGAACTTCATCAAGTTTACAAAACCAGTTTTCCTGCAGTTACCAGATATATAAAGTGTAACAGAAACCTTGATGAAAAGTAATAGTCCATTTGTCATGCGCATTTCTCCATGCACAATGCATGCTCGAAGTGACCAAACAATCTGTATATTACTATTACCCCGAATAACCCAAGCTGCCTGTTAGGTGCTAGAAGGTTATAGTCACATGATTTGATCCCACCTAGTACCCATTTTCTGCTGGGTGCACAGAGGCAATTTTGAACAAACTTACTTGCCTAAGGTGAGACCACATGTATCACATGTGCTTCGATTTGGGGCTGCGACTGAAGTACTAAAACTCTCAGGAGTCAAGCTGCCAAACACGGTCACCCATCTGAGAACTCTCTGCACCCAAGGTCCGGGTTAGAATATTGGCCTTCAGTAACCCATGCTTGTCTACCCGTGAAGGTCCGGGTTAGAATATTGGCCTTCAGTAACCCATGCTTGTCAACCTGTGAAGGTCCGGGTTAGAATATTGGCCTTCAGTAACCCATGCTTGTCTACCCGTGAAGGTGGTTGTCTATTGGCCTTCAGAAGGTCCGGGTTAGAATATTGGCCTTCAGTAACCCATGCTTGTCTACCCGTGAAGGTCCGGGTTAGAATATTGGCCTTCAGTAACCCATGCTTGTCTACCTGTGAAGGTCCGGGTTAGAATATTGGCCTTCAGTAATGCTTGTCCATGCTTGTTCAGTAACCCATGCCAACCTGTGAAGGTCCGGGTTAGAATATTGGCCTTCAGTAACCCATGCTTGTCTACCCGTGAAGGTCCGGGTTAGAATATTGGCCTTCAGTAACCCATGCTTGTCTACCCGTGAAGGTCCGGGTTAGAATATTGGCCTTCAGTAACCCATGCTTGTCTACCCGTGAAGGTCCGGGTTAGAATATTGGCCTTCAGTAACCCATGCTTGTCTACCCATGAAGGTCCGGGTTAGAATATTGGCCTTCAGTAACCCATGCTTGTCTACCCGTGAAGGTCCGGGTTAGAATATTGGCCTTCAGTAACCCATGCTTGGTGTAAGATTGACTAATGGGATCGGGTGGTCAGGCTCGCTGACTTGGTCGACACACGTCATCAGTTCCCAATTGCGCAGATCGATGCTCTTGCTGTTGATCACTGGATTGTCTGTTCCAGATTCGGTTATTTACAGACTGCCGCCATATAGCTGGAATATTGCCGAGTGTTGCTTAAAACTAAACTCACTCACTCACTAATTGTTTCCCAACTGCAAGCTTGATCCTTTGTGATTTCCACCCCCCAACTCTCTGGTGCAGGCTGAGATATATTTACCACACACTCACACACAGATATATATACAGCTGGATTATTGACGAGTGTAGTTTTACATATAAAACAAACTTTATGCCACGACAGCTGTTTTTACAATAACTGACTGACTGACTGAGTTTTGGTTTTACGCCGCTTGTAGCAATATTCCAGCAACATCACGGCAGGGGACACCAGAAATGGGCTTCACACATTGTACCCATGTGGGGATTCGAACCCTGGTCTTCGGCGTGACGAGCCAACGCCTTAACCATTAGGCTACCCCACCGCCCTTTTACAATAACTAACAGTGAGGGTATCAGCAGGATTAGATAAACAGACCAAAACCATACAAACTCTTGTTGTACTCCACATGATTTTCAGGCTGACTTAGTGACTATATCTTTATTCACCTTTTAGCAATATTCCAGCAATGTCAATGTTGGGGACACCAGAAATGAGCTCCACTCATTGAAGATTTGTACTCATGTGGGGAATCGAACCTGAACCCTTGTATAAGTGACCTTATTTTGGGGAGTGGAGACCCAAGTTGGATTTAAAATTTATTGATTTTATTAAATTTTAAGATGTTTTCAAACCTGCACAAACTTGAGTGAGTTTAGTTTTATGCCGCTTTTAGCACTATTCCAGCAATATCACGGCGGGGGACATCAGAAGGCTTCACACATTATACCCACATGGGGAATCGAACCCAGGGTCTTCGGTATGACGAGCAAATGCTTTAACCACAAGGCTACCCCACAAACTTTGACCATCATGTTGGCATTTACAGAATAAAACCGACTCTGAAGCATGTTTGCAAATAAATTATGACTTTATTTGGGTACATAGATTCACAAACTATATTTCTGAACCTATATATACATCAAGCATATTGATAATTTACAGTAGAATGGACAAACTGTACAATTACTTGAAAGAGTTGCTTGTCTCGGTCACAGATTAACAGGTGCTCTGCTATAATCAGTCTCAAAACTAGGAATTTAAAAGCTCCTGAAGAAATAGTTCTTGAATTTTGTTATCAGACTGTCCCCCAAAATACCAAACCTGAAACAGGATAACAATGTAGCACAACAAAACATAACTTTATTTTACATAGTTAAAGCTGAAAAACATTGGAATGGTACCCAGTCTAAAGAGATACCTTCAGGCAAGAGTCATTATAATTATAAATGACATTCAACATTGCTATTTATTTTCATATTGTTTGGGATCTTAAATGGGGAAAGAAAAAAAATACTAAAACATTTAAAGATTTCATGGACGGGACATAATTTACTTGACTTCAAAAATAAAAAAGTTTACCAAAGAATTTAGCTGTTTTACCATTGGAGGTATGTCACATTTGGCTGACAACATGAAAGAATAACTGTATTTGGACGGTTCTTACACAGAGGTGGATGAAAAGAAATAACAAATGTGCTCAAAGCATTTTAAGTATCAATGGCCCTTTTCAAAATGCACTGACACAGCGGTGGGTTGTTAAAATAGAAAATCCTTCATTAGAAGTACCAACAAAAACACTATCTGCAAGGATGCTAAAACAAAAGGGAACATATACATCAAGTCTTGGCAACAAATGTTGAGACATTAATTACATATTTACAGGTGATGCATGTCAATTGTAAGACTAAGATGAAAAGTGATATGATGACTGATAAATGATATATTTCAAACAAAATTAAATTAACATGAATCATAATAAACAATCACCTAGTGATGAATGACTTTGGTTTTGTGAATAAAGCATGTAGACTTCAACTGTTAGACATATCTAACCTGAGGTACTGGAGCTTACCTTCAAAATTCTTAATGTCTACCTATACTTGAGATATGTGTGAACAATTTTACTTCGAAATGGAAATTTTTACACATGGTAAAGGCATAGACACGTTCTGCGGCAAACACTTGCATTCATCTTTTTTGACTATGTTAAGGTGAAGTATTTTGGCAAATTGTAACAAAATAAATCTTGAATATATTACAAATAACACAAATATCTACATTAGCTGTGATTGACTAGTTCTACGATGGTCAAAAAAAGGTATAAATTATAAAAAGAACACCAATGAAAATCAATATAGATAGAATAGATTCCATTTTTTTTCATATACATGTTGCTGTCAGCAATATTCCAGCTATGACAGCAACTTGTAAATAATCAAAGATGGGTCTGGTTGTCCAGCGATTAAATTGACCAACAGGCAGCCTGGTTTTAACCATCTGATGGTGATAAATCTGCAGTCAGACCCGTGATACTCCAACTAAATAAGATGTGTTTCCACTGCCATATTCCAGCAACATTATAGATCAAACTCGCCACAAATAGGCTCAACAGATTGTACTCAAGGAAAATTCAATCCAGGCAACCCAAGTGCTCTTTCCAATTCGATGAATTACCACACAGTGTTTTTAACAATTTATACCTTTATTTTGACATAAAATTATCAACCTTTCTTTGGTTTAGCCCTTTTTGGCCCTCCACTTTACATTCCTCGTAACCATGGTGATGGAATGTAGTATTTCTAAGCAACTATCAAAGAACATTTCTTCTACTTCATCAGATGATCAGTACCTAGATTCTTTGATAAAAAGAAGAGAAAACATAAAATTACATGACAGGCTGTGATTCCACTTTTGGCAGTTTGGGAACCCTACGAATATTGTCATCTAATTTGTGTTCAACTCACACCAACAATTAATAACAAACTTAATGTTGTCCATTAAAAATGTAGCCATATATTCAGAAAGATTCAGTGCTGGGAGTTTGGCACTAAATCTGTTGACGTGTGTTTCCCATTTTGACTCTTTGTGTACATATACTACCCAACACTCAATAGAGATACCAAGAAATCTGATACGCTACAAACCTTCGAGGACTATTCGACTTATAACAATTTCAAGGAAAATTTTGTTTTCTGGAAATGTCAATACCAATAATAAGCTGAAAAAACTTCAGCTCAATTTTAGTAGTGATACTATTTGTATGACAAGTAATGTGTCACATTCAGCTGCCATTTTTCAATACCAAAACAAAGCTGAAAAAAACCAGCTCTATTTTAGCACTGAAGCCATCTGTATGACAACTTAAAGCAATGTGTCTCATTTAGCTGTCATTTGGAAATAAAAATATCGATCCTTATCAAAAACCCAGAAGTATGATTTTATTTGCTATCTGGATTTATTTAACAAAATGGCAATTTTTAAAAAAAAAAAATCAATATATATTCCTAGTATTTCCATGGGAACTGAAGTAACACCTTACTTGGTACTCCACTTACTTCTAAGCTTCTATCATTACTGATTCTGTGGGAAGAAATAAAAACAGTTGTAAAAGGTGTAATCTGTTTTAAAAAATCCTGTGTCTGGATATCAGAGAACTGCCTATGGAATGGAGGACAAGAACTGCCAATTCAAGAATGGCCTTCAGCTACTCTGAGCAAAATCACTCTACATACTGTGCTGGAAGCAACATAAACAATGAAGGCTTCAGTCTTGTCCTAAAGCAACAAACACAATCCTTTAAAGCTCAAATCCTCACAAAGAAACATCACATGGTCATCCAAATTATCAATATATACATCAGGTTTGTCAACCTCAAGTTACAGATGACCTCTTCCATTCTTCAAACAGTCATTACAAATCTGGACTGATCCATATCACCCGGGGTGATGAATGGCTAAAGTCTGTTATTGTCTCACTAAGGCTTAAACACATTCCTACATACACAAACATTCGTATAATTGGTGTTGTCCTCATCCTTCTTGAATCATTGATGCATTCTCCATCTGTTCTCAAGGCTGACTGTCTTCTGTTCTTGCCACTTTTCTTCAGCACTGATTTCAAATGGACTCTTCCACAGAATTTCCTGAAGATCATGGTGTGTGGAGCTGAACCGGTCACATGACACAAAACAACCAATCAGATCCCTCCATCAGACATTCACACACTTCCAGTCACGGAAGTGCCCGTCACATTTGTTGCAACGATTAGAAAATGAAAGCCCTAAGACAAGTTGTCATGTAAGTAGTACCTCCACTACAAATTGCTATGAAACTTTTATCAACACTGATTCTGTTTTGTGTTTTCGATATGTTTGCTGTCCTCAATCTTAAGGCATTTTTCTTCTATCTGTTGTGACCGTAACATCGAATATAGGGTTTTCTTGACTCTCAACATCGGCAGCCGAGCCTTTGGATTCTGGGCCCAACACTCCTTCATCAACTTGGACATCTGCACCATAATCTGGAAGTTGACAAAAGGAATTCAATGGACCGTCAAGTTCATGCTGTCACGTTTTTACACATATTTTGAAAGGCGTTTTTCAGATATTTGTACAAGATGTGACTTCAGCTTGTTTGTCTAGAAGCACTGTACACCTACCACTCCACTGATAAAATGCTTGGAATCAAGCTACAAGCTTTTTATCAAATTTGAGAAGAATCATCAGTTTGAGTGAGTGAGTGAGTGAGTGAGTCTGGTTTTACGACGCTTTTAGCAATATTCCAGCAATATCACGGCGGGCAACACCAGAAATGGGCTTCACACATTGTACCCTTGTGGGGATTCGAACCCGGGTCTTCGGTGTGACGAGCCAACGCTTTAACCACTAGGCTACCCCAACGCCCCTCATCAGTTTGAAACAGATCACTAACTCATCACAATGAAAAAAAAAGCATAAAAAAACAACGTTTAGTGCTCTCAAAATAATAAGTGATAGATTGTCTGCTTCGTGTTGATATCGTCTATCAGAAAATCAGAAAATTTCGCGAGGCTCAGTGGACGTAAATAGCAAGCAAATGAGGTGAACATAACTGTGATGAAAGCTCAGAAAGAAGGCAAGAAAACATGTACAAACCGGGTCGGAGGCCCATCTGTTGGGGATGACTGGACGTTGACCATCGGTCACCACCACCTTCTTCATGTCCTCGTAGCTCGGATCACTCGGCACCGACTCCCCGAACGGAAGCTTGTAGTCTTCAGGAAAGCCTGGAAGTACAGTGAAGGGTGTGAAGCTCATTTCTAGTGTTCCAACTTCAAAAAATTCGTAAAACACCAAAACCCAAACTTACTTCCTTGTAACAACACAAACTCACAAAATCAACCATTTGCAAAGATATACAGAGTTATGCCCCTTTTACTGCAAACTTTCCTTGTAAGTGGGAAGCTAAAGCATAACACTACTTGCAATATCCCACCTATATTATGGAAGAGTAGATAATATGCAGCATCAAGGATGGTTAATAACCAATCGTGGTTATCTATAACAGGGAACGCATGCAAACTTTCCTTGACTGACTGAATTTTTCTAATGCAATTATGGTTGGTCCATCTCCTGCCAGTGCACACAACATACAGGAAGTCACAGGTATACCAATGCATTATGGGTTAAAAGCAGAAACTTAATTGTAAAAAACGAACCCCAATTTCCCTTTGAAATTTTTGGTACTCCAAAAGTTGGAAGGTTTGTGAAAAGAAAAATTTAGGTCATGATTATGCTCCTAAAGAAGAAGATGCCCAAATTATTCTTCAGCACAACAAAGAACAGTGTAGTTAAACTTTTGGGTAGTACCATGCAAAGGTCTATCCATTATGCCACTAACAAAGTCTAGGGCATCACAACTCACCTCCAGTAGAGCACTTGCGACAAATCTCCCACAGAACCAGACCAAATGCATACACATCCACACACTTGAATGAATCAAAGAAATCAGGATTAAGTGTCTCTGCCAAAAGCTCCGGCGCCATGTATCGCTTTGTTCCCACTTTGTTATTCCGACCTAAGTCCAGCTTATTATCTTCTTGAGTATGAGTGACAGCCAATCCAAGATCTCCAATACAACATGTTCCGTTGGATCGTACTAAAATATTTTTCGACTTAATATCTCGATGTGCGATTGCAGGTTTTCCATGGTTTCCGACAATTTCTGTATGTAGATGTACGAGCCCTGCCGCTGCTGAGTGAGCCAGATCCAGCATCTGTATATGCGTGAGAACGTTCCACTGGAGATGGTCATACAGAGACCCATGTTTGTGGTAGTGCGTGATGAGCCACAACTGTGTACACGAGTTTCTGCTCGTCATGTCTGAAGCGTAATAGCCGAGAACATACTCGTGACGCAGTAAGCACGTGTTGTAGATTTCTGATTCCCTCAACCAGCTGGCTTCATCGCGAGATGAAAAGATTTTAACAGCAACATCTTCATCGTGATACTTTCCACGCCATACTTCTCCATAACGACCTTTACCTGGAAACAAGAAAAGACAAGCACATGATGTTGTATCCATGGCAACCTGAGGTAAGGTGAGGTGAAATGAGGTTCAACATTGTACTTAAGATTATTTCGCTCATATGATGACATGCATGCATGTGTATGTGCGGCTGCTTGTACTAGCCCAGACTTAAGTTGGTTTTATAGTGCTAGCTCACTGAGATACCATGCCGCAGCAAAGCATGAATACCTTAGACATATTACACTGATTCTGATCCGACCAGTACTTGTTGAACCCATTAATGCCGAGCTCCAGGCAGGGACCAACAAGTGCCACATTTCAACGTCTTTTGGTATGACGCGACCAGGGATCGAACCCATGATCTTCCGTACTACGGGCAGACGCTCTAACCACTACACCACGGAGGCTGTTTGGCAACCTGAGAGAAGCTGGTGGAGTGATAAAGCTGAAAGTTTCTAAGGCCTCTGCCCTTCCCTACACTGAAGCATATACAGCAAGTGGTGTGTCCTTCGGCAAGTAACTGTGTTCAAAACACATCTCTGCTGACCCAGCAGTAAATGGGTACCCTGTAGGGTGGTATGGTAATAACACTGTTAATCTTTTATCACCTGACCTGACTATCAGCTTCAGTGTGTAAGAATCTACATTGAGAAGTTGCTCTTTGCAGTAAACAAGTTCTGGCCTACCAAAGAAAACTTTACCACTGTGCAGAAAAACACTGAACAGTCCACATTAATCGTGGAAATAGCAACAGAAACATATTCCCTCGCTACTGGAACAGTAAAAATAATAACTTTATATCACTAAAACTGGATAGAAAAAGCGAAGAGCCTGCAACTTCGATTTTGGACCTGTGTACATGTAACTAATTGTATTGCTGTCAATACAAGATGAAATACTTTTAGAGTTTGTTGTCATGCATCTAGTTTCCGTAAACTTGAACACCAATAATGCATGAAAGTGCCACAAACTTCTGTTCAAAATGCAAGATTTTGGTATCAAGAATGAAGTGTTTCAAGGAAGCATGAAATAATGAAAATTATGAAACAAGTTACCAATATGTGAGTAGAAAACATCTCACATCTTTATGCTTTCAAGTTCTACCAATTCTGCCAACTGACATTTGAAATTTCACATTTTGGCCAAAATAACTATTACCACAATAATTTTTGCCAATGAATACCAGCGTACTGCACAACCTGCTGTACGTACCAATGCACTCATCTAATCGGACCTGCCGGGCGACTGTCTGTTGGACCAGGAAAGGCAGACCAGACCCTGACCCCGAGGTCATTGACTCGTCATAAAGCTCCTGTAACAAAACAAGGGGTCAAGGTCAATGAAACAGTCAGTCATGTGTCTGGTGATGATGGGTATGTTTCAGAACAATTTTAGAGTTTGACTTAATTGACACCATCTTGTTCTTTTCCAGATTTATCGGTACTAACGGTGTTAGTACCTACACCGAAACGTCGCACTCATTGCACTAAAGAAGTTGACTATCCATAGAACTTAGTTTTCCTTCAAATTTATCTGGTCTGTTTATGTAAAAAGAGACACAACCTTTGTTAAAAAATTAGAGGTTTAGCTTCTCAAGTGCAAAAAGAGCACAAGTTAAAACCCAAGAATAAACTACTTTGAGTGGCATTTTAGAAGTTGGGAGTACAATATAGAACAAACTTTATGGATAACAACTTCTTTTTATTCGTGAGTGCGACGTTTCGATACTTTAAGGATACCAAGGATACTTCATTCCATCCGCTTATGATGCACTCATCCACCAAGCCCAATCTACTGTATAAATTCTGCTGTATAAACATCTCATTATTATTTGTACATCATTGGCTTCCACGCCTGTCCTTTGTCTACTCTCTGGCTTCATCAGCTTTCTGCCTAGCCAATTATGTTAATTATGTTGTTTTCTTTGTTACATTGTTACATCCAGTATATATACACTTCCCCCCTTCTTCATGTTCCATTATGCTTGACAACGGTACAAGAATCTGTATCGAAACGTCGCACTCACAAATAAAAAGAAGTTGTTATCCATAAAGTTTGTTCTATAAGAATAAACTAGTTTCCTACCACTTATTTGTAGCACATCAGGATAAGGATGGCCCTCAAGAGAAACTTTGACAGTGTGTTTACGACATTATTCCTGTCAGTCACAAAATGCTGAGCTCTACAGATTGTCAAATATTAACAAATGTCGGAACAAAGGACAAAGCTGGGAGCCAGTAGTATGTACTGCAATGTCTACCGAAACACACGCAGACATAACATGTCACACTTTTGCCACATCTTTCAACAAAGTGTCAGTTGAGTTATTCTAATTTCAGTTTTCGGTGAGCCCACTGATCACACAACGTGACACATTGCATGCAGCAAGACTGACAGTTTACATGATCCTGTGTAGACTGTGTTTATCATACTTTCACAAAGTGACTGCTCTTTCCAAATCCAGGCATGTATGACAGACTGTTTTCGTAAGCCAGGTGTCAACATCCACACAAAAATTAATTTTTATTCCCAATCATAAGTTTTGCATAAATTCAAAGACATCACTAAAAAGAAGATTCTTTCATATTTGCTGTCATGCCAAGACAAATATTCCTTCTAAGTACTCAAAGTATGTTACTTTTGGCAATTTATGAAGTGTATATTGGGCAAAAAACAACCTAAAAACAAAATTTCTTGAATGTTTACATTTTTGGCCCCAAAAAACATTAGGATTTTATTTTTTGAGCGGGAAAATTAATTATTATTTTTTTTCTTATTCTTGAAAAAATACGACAGGCGGATCCATAAAACAAGAAATGTAATTGGTCTGGCCTGAGCATGTTTACTAAATAATGACAAGAGATTTACGCCAGTAATAAGGAAGAATTGGGTGTTCCTTAACTTCTTTTGTTCAGTATATCATTATTGAAAACTTGTAGCACACCCAGGGAAAGCTCTGTTTTTGTGCATAAACAGTATTCTTCCACTTTTGAGAGGTGCATTTGGAAACTGTGGACTGTCAAGTAAATTTTCGGTCTAAATATAGGGCTCTTTGCAAAAAAATGTTGATATACGTGTGGTCACTGTTTGGAGCAGAACATGGAATATGGAGAATACGGTATGCAGTAGCTGTTTAGAGTAATGTTGCATCTGCTTGCGATATGTTAATAAACTGTTTAGGTTAACTCTGTTGCGTAATCACACACCTGCAGTGTACTGTCCCCAACTTGCGCTGCACGTATCCCATCCTCCTCCAACAAACGTCTCTCACGGGCAAACAGTGCCTCCATCCTGCGCTGATGCACGCGGCGGAAGAGGAAAATAATGATGGGCATGAGGACGGCCACAATGATGATCGGGATGATGACGGCGAGTACGAGTGGTAGGTGGGATATCAGGTCTTGGAACAGTGCTGCTGAAACAATAACCTTTCGTTAATAAGAAACATAAAGCATGCTGCTTATATCCTTTGTTGCATATTCTCACAACTACCCTGACAATGAATTCTGACAGTCTCTGAAACCAATGAGTGAGTGAGTGAGTTTGGTTTTACGCCGCTTTTAGCAATATTCCAGCAATATCACGGCAGGGTCACCAGAAACTGAAACCAGGGTTAGAATTGGTCTTCATCAACCCATCGCTGACTTGGTTGACATGTCATTGTATCACAACTGTGTAGATAGGTGCTCATGATGTTAATCACTGGATTGTCAAGTGCAGATTTGATTATTTAGAAACCGCTGCCATATGGCTGGAATATTGCTCAGTGCTGCATTAAACATCAAACAAAACAAAAAACACAGTTACTGAACCATACCATTTACCCTATCCAAGTCTTCACATGAAGCAAGTCTAAATTTCCCAAAGGCTTTATTCTTAATGGGGCTCCTTTTCAATTTAATTAAGCTGTTTGTTTTGAAGTTATACATATTTTCAGAAAAAAGCGTTACTAAATCCAACTGATATCTAAGAAACTATGGTATAACGTGTTGTACAAAGGACTTTCATACCATCTCCTGGCTTTGTTTGGTCCGGCAACAACAGCGGAATATCCTTGTTGCAGAAGTTAGTGTTGTTGCAGCAGTCGGTCGCCAGCGTGCCCTGGTTCTTCTGCTTGCACATGGAATGGATCATGAGGTCCATGTCGGTACATCCGTACGCTCGTCTCTCCTCTCCATTTACTTTCTCTAACGATGCAAAGCACTGAAAAACAGTCAAGGTCCTTGTGAAATATATTCTTCAAGGAATTTGTTTTCAAACCATGAAACTCGTCTTAATAGATCATGAAGCACTCCAACATTACCAGGAAGAATATACCTTCATCTGCTCAGGGGGCAGATTTTAAAACCCAAACCTGCAGCAAATTGTAATTAATATTCCAACTTGGATAAAAGATTTTCCTGCTGATGCTAATTGTGTTATTTATGTTCATCATGGTCATAAATGAATGACTAATATCATGGTGACTTGTACTCTACTTTCAACATGACCAATCAAATGTCTTCAACACAACGTTGTAACAAATCAGAATTTACACAAAATATAAAATTTTCTTTTTCAAAACAATAATTTTCCCCAAATTTTCCTGCCAAAGACAAGTTTGGAGACACGGATAGATTCACTGACCAGTTGAGCTTCTACTCTTTTACGGAGATACTCATCAGAATGATTTAAGAGGGGAGAGGATAGAGGCAGGTTTTATGGATGTAACCTTTGCAATATGAGGAGGGGGATATTTTAGAGTACATTCTCGCTCATTCATCAGGTGAATAATTTTTTCTCGGTCTGGATATTTCACATTCTTCATGAACCTGAAGTAAAGACTACAAAGACACAAAAGCAGTACTAATGATGCTGCCCAAAGTTTTTGATAGAAATAGAGTAATAAATATTTGTTAAGAGATGCCCTTCTGATGTACAATGCAACATGATGTGATGGTTATCATATAGTATTTCCCCAGGAGCCAAAAAAGCGGCAGGGAGACAGAATTTCAATAGGGGCACCTGTGTTCGAAAGGGGCATGCAATGGCAGGTTTCCAAGTATTTATGTCAAGTTATTCATGCATATGATTCTTAAAGGCTCAGAGAGCACAGTTAATTCACTTATCTAAAACATGAAATAGAAACTAGAAATCACCAAGTGTTAATTTTAATTATTGCATTAAAAGAAGGGCAGGGATCCAAAACAAAATGCCCAGGGAAGCACTATGATAAGAACACTCACATTTCCACTGGTGACACAATAGTTGGTTTCACAGGTGCTGCAAACACAGGTGATGTTGTAGGTGGGTTCCAGCGGTAGATTCACACCTGTAACAGAGTAAAATCATGAAGAACTTTGGTATACAGGTGAAAGATAGGGTTTGCTGTAGCAGTGTTTTGGGGCAACACATGCAATATCTGGGGGGGTGGGGTAGCCTAGTGGTTAAAGCGTTTGCTCGTCATGCCGAAGACCCGGGTTCGATTCTCCACATGGGTACAATAATGTGAAGCCCATTTCTGGTGTCTCCTGCCATGCTATTGCTGGAATATTGCTAAGGCCAAACAAAAAAAATATGTCCGCTAATTGTGTTATTTATGTTCATCATGGTCATAAATGAATGACTAATATCATGGTGACTTGTACTCTACTTTCAACATGACCAATCAAATGTCTTCAACACAACGTTGTAACAAATCAGAATTTACACTAAAATATAAAATTTTCTTTTTCAAAACAATAATTTTCCACAAATTTTCCTGCCAAAGACAAGTTTGGAGACACGGATAGATTCACTGACCAGTTGAGCTTCTACTCTTTTACGGAGATACTCATCAGAATGATTTAAGAGGGGAGAGGATAGAGGCAGGTTTTATGGATGTAACCTTTGCAATATGAGGAGGGGGATATTTTAGAGTACATTCTCGCTCATTCATCAGGTGAATAATTTTTTCGAGGTCTTGATATTTCACATTCTTCATGAACCTAAAGTAAAGACTACAAAGATAAAAGCAGTACTAATGATGCTGCCCAAAGTTTTTTTGATAGAAATAGAGTAATAAATATTTGTTAAGAGATGCCCTTCTGATGTACAATGCAACATGATGTGATGGTTATCATATAGTGTTTCCCCCCAGGAGCCAAAAACGGTAGGGAGACAGAATTTCAATAGGGGCACCTGTGTTCCGAAAGGGGCATGCAATGGCAGGTTTCCAAGTTTTATGTCAAGTTATTCATGCATATGATTCTTAAAGGCTCAGAGAGCACAGTTATTTCACTTACCTAAAACATGAAATAGAAACTAGAAATCACCAAGTGTTAATTTTAATTATTGCATTAAAAAGAAGGGCAGGGATCCAAACAAAAATGCCCAGGGGAAACACTATGATAAGAACACTCACATTTCCACTGGTGACACAATAGTTGGTTTCACAGGTGCTGCAAACACAGGTGATGTTGTAGGTGGGTTCCAGCGGTAGATTCACACCTGTAACAGAGTAAAATCATGAAGAACTTTGGTATACAGGTGAAAGATAGGGTTTGCTGTAGCAGTGTTTTGGGGCAACACATGCAATATCTGGGAAAGCCCATTTCTGGTGTCCCCTGCCGTGCTATTGCTGGGATATTGCTTAGCCCCCCCAAAATTAGGTTAGGTGGTTAGGATTAGGATAGGGTCGGTCGGGTTACCTGAAACGGACATATTTTTGGGGGGGGCCTAAAAGCAGCGTAAAACCAAACTCAGTCAGTCAGTCAGACATACAATATCTTGTAGATCATGGACAAATACTGTGCTTCTTGACCTTTTTCCGAGTCTGATTTATGGATTGGCAACTTTGATGAGGAGACATAGCTTAAAGATGCTAAAATAGGGATTAAAGTTGCATTCAAAATTGTGCGAGTTCATGTGCGCATACTGATGCAGCTATCATAAATGTTAACTGGACTGCCCTCTCAGATTAGTATGAGTGAGTGAGTGAGTTGGGTTTTACGCAGCTTTTTGCAATATTCCAGCTATATCATGGCGAGGAACACCAGAAATGGGCTACACATTATACCCATGGGGAATCTAACTCAGGGCTTCAGCGTGATGAGCGATCGCTGTAACCACAAGGCTACCCCACCGCCCCTCTTTTGGTATATAGCAACTGGGGATTGAACCGTCACCCTTTCTCTGTTAAAGAAACACCAAGTAGTATGTATATTCCATGTCACACAACTCACAAGCATACTAACAGAGATCCCGTGTGTATCTTTATTCTCAATGCACTGACTGGCAATAACAAAACCCATTAACAGAACTCAAGTATCGTTGATATGACTGCAACCCCAAAAATAACTATCATTTGACAAAGTTTCTTAATTTCTGTATTTAATTGCTGTTTAACGTTGCACTCAGCGATATTCTTGCTATATCAGAGTATGATGGCAGCCTGTCAAAAAAAAGTCTCATCATGAGCACTTATCCCTGCAATTTAGATACAACGTGAATCAGTGAGCCTGACCATCCTATCCAATTAGATGCTTTTTTACAACATGTGTGAGTTGCTTAAAATTTTGATATTTTCCTTAAAGTTTATGAGGCACCTCAAGATAATGCTGGTAGGGTTCAGCAATGTCTCAGCATATGTCAGATACACAATTTTTTACATTTTTCATTAAAAACATAAAGCACCTAAAGATAATGCTTGCAAATCCTCAGCAATGTCTCAGGAACAAGCACGACGAAGTTGGAAATGTATTTTCGGCCTACAGTAACTGAGTTTAGTTTTACGCCGCTTATAGCAATATTCCAGCAATATCATGGCGGGAACACTAGAAATGGGCTTCAAACTTGTACCCATGTGGGGAATTGAACCCAGGTCTTCGGCATGATGAGCGAATGCTTTAACCACTGGGCTACTGCACCACTCCTTTCAGCCTACAATTGAGGCCGGGGAACCATGAGTGGACCACAGAGTATGTCCCATACACTGCAGCAATATTAATGGGAATGTCACATGGCACTCATAGCTGAAGTGCTCTCCATCACCCAAGGTCAATGGCTACCATCTGGCTCTGGACCAGACCTACATGACCAGCAACCACCAGGCCTTGCTCCACAGTCTCAGTAACAAGATAACCAAGTCTGTGTTAACGCATGGGGGATGCTATAGTCAACGGGCTAGATCTTTAGTAGACTAACACTTTGTCCCTGAATATATACAATTTTGATAGCAACAAATAAACCCACTAAACCTGAAGCGGAACCCCAGTAAGGTGGGAGATTCAGGTTCCTGAACCAGGGGAAATCTAGATTTGCTTCATTTAGGACTCTAGCATTGCAGGGAGGGCTAGGCAGAAGGGAAAATGATGTGATTCAGGGACTGTGAGACAGACTATATCTTTAGTGGAACATAACCAGGTTAATCCTGTTCCCAGTAAGTGAGTGAGTTTAGTTTGACGCCGCACTCAGCAATATTCCAGTTATATGGCGGCGGACTGTAAATAATCGAGTCTGGACAAGACAATCCAGTGATCAACAGCATCAGCATCAATCTGCGTAATTGGGAACCAATGACACGTGTCAACCAAGTCAGCGAGCCCGACCACCCGATCCCGTTAGTCGCCTCTTACGACAAGCATGGGTTACTGAAGGCCAATTCTAACCCGGACCTTTACGGGTTGGTCCTGTTCACAAAGCAATCTTAGTGTCACGACAACTGTAAGTCAAAAACTTAAACCTGTTTCACTGTGCACTCAATCTCTATGACAATTATCGGCCAAACAGAAGATAGAGTTTCAGAATGATATCTCAACACGATGATTTTCATAAGCTAAAAAATCATTCCTGTTTCACAGTACAATCTGACCCGATGACAATTACAGGCCAAACAGAAGGTCCTGTTTCACAATATCTCAGCACAATGATCTTTAGAAGTCAAACAGCATGTGCTGTTTCACCAACATTGTCTCACTGTTATGACAATCATAGTTCAAACAGGTCATGTTTAATAATGTTATCCCAGTGTGATGACAGTCATATGTCTATGTTTTCCCTGCTTCACAAAGCAATCTGATCTCCGTGACAATCATAAATCTAAAAACTGGTCTCACTTGAAAAGTGATCTCAGTTCTACAACAATCATAAGTCAATGTTAAGTCTGGTTCTGTTTCACAACCTGATCTTACCGCTAGGACTAATAAGTCTACGCTAAAGTATGGAAGTTTCGATAATAATATTGGTTCCCTAAACATAGTCCAGGTCCTGTTTCGGAAAGCAATCCTCGAAATAAAACAATTGCAAGACTTTGTAGCAGTAAGAAAATTATCGTCTCCAGAATGCAAGGAACGGCAATGGTTATGCTAGTGATCTTTTGTGCTGTCTTCCATGATATAGAGGTATACTTCTCTAGTCCTATAAACATCGAATAACTGACAGGAGGCCACAGATCAAATATTTACAATACAAATGATAAATACTTGCCCGGACCATTATCTGATAAGTATGCATTTGTATCTATAGTCAACACCACATTGCTATTCATAGTCTTATCTCTGTCACATGAAAGATGCAACAGTGTAGTACAGAATCCTTTTATCTGACATCAACAACAGTGAAGAATTGACTTCAGAAACACATTTGGATTGGTTGGTAGAACGAGGTAATATTGTTTTATGCTATAGCAAGATTGTTCCCTATCACAACAGTTGTCAACAAGTTGGTTGGTTGTTGTTTAACGCCGCAATAAACAATATTCCAGCTGTATGATAGTAGTCAGTAAATTATCGAGTCTCGACCAGATAATCCAGTGATCAACAGCATGAGCATCGATCTATGCAATTGGGAAACGATGATATGTGTCAACCAAGTCTATGACGAGCTCTATGCAAGCCTGACCACCCGATTCCGTTAGTCACCTCTTACGACCAGTATGGGTTACTGAAGATCAATTCTAAGCCGGATCGTCACGGGTTCAACACTTAAGGTGAGGTGAGGTGAAATAGGGTTTATCGTCGTGCTTGAGAATATTTCGCTCATATGACGACGTGCATGCGTGTGTATGTGTATGTGCGGCTGCTTTTACTAGCCCAGACTGAAGCTGGTTTTATAGTGCTAGCCCACTGAATACCCCACTCAGACACATTATACTGACTCCGAGCCGACCAGTCCTTGTTGTACCCATTAATGCCGAGCGCCAGGCAGGGACCAACAAGTACCATATTTTAATGTCTTTTGGTATGACGCGGTCGGAGATCGAACCCGCGACCTTCCCCTCTCCGGGCGGACGCTCTAACCACTACACCACGGAGGCGGTTTTCAACACTTAAGATGGCTGTATGGTCACGTTGAACAATATGTCAGTTACATCACATATATTGGGACAAAAGCCAGAACTGATGTAAGCCTCAGATATTTACAACTCTGGGGAAATCCACAAGCACAGGTATAGTGCTGGCAAACCTAGAAACAGAATCGGGGCAAACTGAGATCTGAACCCACAATCATATATTGTATCTAACAGATGAAGGTCTGCACAGCAAATTACAGGACATTGTGCAGCTGGGCCACCTGTGTCACCCATCAGCATTCAAGCCTATACATTCATGAGGGCACTTACTTACAATCCGATACTCAGGGTCCTGCAAGTAATGAAATGGTAAACCATACTGTACTGTAAGATCTAAGGAATTTCAGGAACTGATTTTTCTTCTAAAAAGTCTGGTACAGTAAATATTACTATGCATCCCTCTGGACATATTTTTTTCTGCATCCATTCTGAAGTTTTGTGTATCTGGATGCATAATGTTTCTGAGTCGTGTAAACCAGCGAAGGAATCTCTTACAGTTAGTAGATTCCAGCTATCATTACAAATATAAAGAAAAGGATAATAACAAGCATTGTCATTAAGGTGACATAATCACCCGCCGCAAATTATCAAATGAAACTTAAAAAGTAATGAAAGTTTAAGATGAAGTTAAATATCAACAAAAACATGACCAGTCAACCTCTCTTGATATCTTGCTCTTTAGGTGTTCAAACACACAAATATTTTCAAGACTGACTTTGACCTTGACATGAATGTCATAGTGTATGAAATATGCAAAAGTGGTACTAAAGAAATTGCTTATTGAAGAACATTCAAGGGAAGTCTTGAAAGTCTATGAAGAAAATCCAGTGAATTCAGGTTAACAAGCTGAAATCTTCAAACTGTCGCAGTGACCTTGAAAATTATGTGAAGGTCACCAAAATTGACTGGGCACTGCGCCTTCATTAGATGAAGCTTGGTGTCAAATATGAAGAAAATCTAGGGAACGGTTCTTGAGATGCTTCATCTTCACAACTTCTAAAATGCCTCTCAAAGAAAAGGTTCTTGACTAACTGAGTTTGGTTTTACGCCGCTTTTAGCAATATTCCAGCAACATCACGGCGGGGAACACCAGAAATGGGTTCTTGAGATATCTCGCTGACCATCTTAACATTATGTGAAGGTCACCAAAATCGACTGG